CAACATTAGTTAAAACAAGTGAAGGTATTACTATATGCGAGAGTTTGCGGGATATAGGATGTTTTTACTTGGACTGTAATTTGCTGGTCTGGTCTGGTCTGGTCTGGTCTGGTCTGAACTGGTCTGGTCTGGTAAGGTCTGGTTTCTTTGCATTTTTATAACTATCCAAGTCTGGTCTGGTCTGGTCTGGTCTGGTCTGAATTGGTCTGGTCTGGTCTGGACTGGTCTGGTCTGATCTGGTCTGGGACAAATTACAGTCCAAGTAAAAACATCCATAATATTATTTCCAAGTAATTTGATATGGAGTATTTTATATATTTGTTTGGTGTAGTAAAAACGCAATATGTATGTGTATACATCACATAAATATAAGAATACATAATTTTAAAGTACAAGAACGCCATTAATGTAGTCTTACATGGATCCGAAACCTCTGTCTTGCTTTAGAGCAAAACACGGTGCTCAGCTTTTGGGGATCGTCCAATCAAAAGTTTAATGGTCGGAGATATCAAGATCCACATTTTGAGGCTTCTCTCCTCCCACGATCCCCTACCCGCGATCCCCTGCGTGCAAGACACTCTGCCACACAACAAAGAATCTCAAACGGTCTTACATTACTTGAATAATTATGGAATCTCACAACTCCAATAAATCCCACTAATCGGGCTACAAAGCGTAGTACTCCCTCCGGTTTTTAATAAACTTCACACTTTCTTTTTTGGGACGGTCTAAAATAAACTTCACACTTCCTTATTTCCTTTTTTGGCAAAGAAATCTACATCAAAACAATGTCAAACAGTGTCAAATAGTGTCTCAACAGTGTAATCTATAGTAAAGTCAAATTTCTTTCCTTATTTTGTGTGAAGTCAAAGTGTGAAGATTAAATAAAACCGGAGGGAGTATTATTTTTTTCAAAAAAATTACTAGAGTAAAATTTGTTTACGAAAAAATGTTTAACACTTAGGACGTAATATAATTTAGTGTTATGATCCCTTAAATATAAAAATTGAACATAAGTTATTATGATTCAAATTAATATTATTCACTACATATAGGAAAGTCACATTTTTATACATAAGGGTTATTTTCACCCATATCAAAATTCAACTTTTCTTCCCGGATCTTAAATATTAGATGTGAGTATGTGACTATTTTCACTTTTCTTTTCCTTTTTTATTCTTTTCTACCTTCAGTCAATCTTCTTCCCAACACCAGTACACCACTACAGTTTTTCTTCGGTCTTTCCTTTTATTTTATTTTACTTTCATTCTTCTTCAGTTCTACCTATCAGGCTATCATAAGGTTGTAAACTTGTAATAATCCCCGCCCCGATAGTCCGATACCCAAGAGTGGTTAATATGGGTACTGGGGTTTGGTTTGTAAACTAAGCACTGCCCCTCAATATTCTGTCACTTGTGCCCCGCGTAGGGGTGGCCTGGTTCCGGTTTGACCGGACCGCCACTGTGTGGGATCAGCCCGGGACCGGTTCCGGGCCTAGGACCGGTCCGGGGGATTTTAGGGGGCGGTTCCAGGACTGGGGAAATAGAGACCGGACCGGCCGGTCCGGGCCTTTTTGTTTTTATTTTTAGGCTAAAGGGTCAAATAGATCCTCGAACTAATTTAAAAAGTGCAAATCACTTCTTATATAGGAGGCTCTATCCGGCCATCGTCATTTGGGGCGGTTCGGTGGATTTTTTTGATGAAATATTTTGAGCATCTTCATCGTTAAGTCTAGTTTATCCATACCAAATTTCAGATAAAAATTCAACCGGGAAGACAGTCAAATGATTTTCTGAAATGTACTGCGCTGTTTAATTGCACAGTTATTTTCGAAAATTCATTTGACTGTCTTCCCAATTAAATTTTTAGCTTACATTTGGTATGAGTAACTAGACTTAATGAAGAAGATGTTCAAAAAAATTCATCAAAAAATTCCACCGGGAACCGCCCCAAATGGCGGCGGCCAAACAGAGCCTCCTAATAAGAGGTGATTTGCACCTTTTAAGTTAGTTCGAGGGCCTATTAGACTCTTTAGCCTTATTTTTATTTTTGGGTTTGGGCCTATGGTAGGTGGGCTGGGTGTTTTGGCGGGTTTTGGGGGGGTGCAAGGGGTGGGGGTTGGAATAAATAAGAAAAGCAAAAAAAGGAAAAAAACAAAACAAGAACCGGCCTGACCCGGTCCCGATAGATTCCTGGACCGATGTCGGGCTTTACCCCAAAAAACCAAGCCCGCTCGGGCCCGACCCGGAACCGGACTGGGCCCGGGTCCATCCCTAGCCCCACGTGACAGTGTTTCTAACCGTGGACAGCAGAGGCGACATTAGCTACAGAAGCAGCCAGTAACTACATCCATACCTTCTTATGGCTAAACCGAGATGAGAAAAAGTGAAAATGGGAACAATGGACTTCAATCCTTATCTGCATGTGATCCAGATCCGGATAGAAGCTCAATCAATAAGTGAAGCAAACCAAATGCTAGACAAGGGGGGTGCGGAGTGAAGATAAACGATGACATCAAGAAGTCAAGTACTCCGTAGTCCTGGACTCGGGCCGGGCGGCCCGACCCGGAACCGGCCCGGCCCGGCCACTGTAGCAACCGGCCCGGCCCGGTGGCCCGGTCCACCGGCGGTTCGGGTCGAACCGGCCCGGTGGTTCCCGGTTCCGGGCCCGGGCCTTCCATATGGTGAACCGGCCCGGCCGGTTCGGGCCCGGTCCGGGCCGGATTTTAATTTTTTTTTTTTTTTTTTGAAAAATTTTTTAAATCTTGGGTTGGAATAGGTATTTTGGGCCATTTGAGGTGGTTTGGGGTGGTTTGGGGTTGAGGGGGAGGGGTAGGGGATTAAATAGGAGAACAAAAAAAAAAAATTAATAGGCCGGTTAGGCCCGGCCCGGTTTGGCCCGGAACCGGAACCGGAACCGGCCACCGGCGGTTCGGGCCCGGGCCTCCCCTTTCCTGGCCCGAGTCCCGGCCGGGCCCAGGCCCGAACCGGGCCCGAACCGGCCCGAGTCCAGGCCTAGTACTCCGTATTATGAGTTCGGGAGTGAAAAGGGAAATACTAAGGGCCTCTTTATTAACAGAGATATTTTCCAGTTTTCCAGAAAACTGGAAAACTGGAAAACAGAAAATAAGAAATGTGTTTACCAAAGAAATTCCTGGAAAACTGGAGAAAGGAAAAAAGAAAAACGCGTTTACCATCGTTTTCCAAAACCGAAAAAATGAGACATGTCTCTCTTTTCCTTAATAATTTGGAGAAGTGACTTTTACTAGTTTTCCAAATTTGGAAAACGCAGATGCTACAGTGCCACTGCAATGAATTTGCATACGTACACCTAGTGGTGGGTCCAGTCCCGCTCCAATGTCGATTCCATTCCGGTACCTCCATCCTCATACCTTACCCCTTACCCCTACCCTACCCTACCCTACCCTACCTTACCCACCCAACCCCACCCTGCATACCCAATTTTCCCTATAATGACCCTACCCCTACCTCGGCCCCACCCCGGTCCACCCTACCGCCACCCCCTACCACCTCGACCCCACCCCGACCCACCCTACCCTACCCCCACCCGCATATTACCCCTTACCACATGCGCCTACCTCGACCCCACCCCACCGCCATCCTACCCCCACCCTCGTACCGCCATCCTACCAGCACCCTTCCGTCTAGGGGTGGACTCGGGCCGGGTGGCCCGGCCCGGCACTGTTCCGGGCCCCCCATTCCTGAACCGAGGCCCAACCCGGGCCCGAACCGACTCGAGTCCACCCATACTTCCGCCACCCTACCCTTCCCCTACCTCGGCCCCACCCAGATCCCGGGCCCACCCTACCGCCATTCTATCCCACTACCCCTACCTTACCCCAACCCTAACCCACTACCCCCACCCTTACCGCCATCCTACCCCACCCCTTCCCTACCTCGGTCCCACCCCGGTCCCGGCCCCACCCTACCGCCATCCTATCCCAACTCCATACCCTACCTCTACCTTACCCCAAACCCTACCCACTACCCCACCCTTACCCCTAACCACGACCCTAACCCACCCACTACCCCACCCAACCCCTACCCCTAGACCTTACCACCCCACCCCGACCATACCCCTTACCCCACCCCCACCCATAACTTCCCTACCCCGACCGCTACAAGTAGGTATGGGTGGGTATGAAGGGTTGTGGGGGAGTATGGATAGAGTGCAAGATCGTGGTAAGGGTAGGGGTCAAGGGTGTGGAATTGGAGATCTGGGTAAAAAAAATTGATGAACATGTTTTCAGATTTGAAAATGAAAAACTAAAAAATAGAAACAGAAAATTGGAGATAGAAAAACTGAAAAATAAAAACAGAAAATTGGAGAACGAAAAACAAAAGTAGGAAACATGAAAATATCTCTGTTAGTAAATAGGCCTAAGTATTTCGTAACAAAAAAGGCCTATAGACGTTTCGTTTTATATTCCAACAAAATATGTTTTAATTTTTCATCCATGGTGTATGGAAAATATATTTTTTATTTTTCATTCATGGTGTATGCATTATTTTCTTTTTAGTTCAAATCAAAATTTAATAGAAATTTTTAAATCCATCCTTATAAAATTTTCTAAACGCTAATATGAGAATTAGAACGATGCAAACCCAATGACTTACATTTTAAAATTACTTTTAACGACCTTCTAAAACCCCCTGGGCCAGTCCTAGGCCTGGAACCAGTCCCGGGCAACCGGGTCGGGCCAGTCCCGCACAGTGGCAGTCCGGTCCGGTTCCCGGGCTGGTCAGACCGGAATCAGGTCACCCCTACTTTTCACATGACAAAGAATGACACGAAACATCAAAACCTAGTCAAGATTGTTTCATTATCAACAAAGGTTGTTATAATTGATTATGAACTAGAGAAAAGTAAGGATGAAAAACAAACAAAAAATCTACAGACATAAAACAAAATGCACAGTGCAAGAACATAAAAAATCAAGGGCTTAGTTACATCTTAAGAAATAGAAATTTGAATATAGTGCAAATCTGATTTAAGTTTCCATTTAAACTACAGAAATATTCTAGGCAGTCTGAATGCGGAACAAAAAGAAAATAGCAGTTCATGAAGAAACTGATTTTTCGTTTTTTTTTTTTTGCCTAAACCATAAGTCACCGAACACATTATCAATCTGCATTCAAAAGGTAGCAGATGAAACCTACTTGGGTCTTTGTTACATACAACCATGGGCCAACCCATCAGACAAAACTGCCCGAAGTAAAAAAAATGATGGAATTTTATTTTAATAATACAAACAATCATTCAAAGATAGAACCAATTGAAAATTTTAAAGTAAGAGCTAGAATCAAGAAATGATTTGGCCACCACACTTACAATACTGGTACAACTTGATAACCTTCACAGCTTCGCCCCGTGGGAGGGGGGTTCCAAGCGAGTAGAACCCGCCCCCCTCCCCAATCGATCATCCAAGATATCAACAATGGTCTTAGGAGCTTTCCACGTGCTACTCCTTGTTACTGATCACACTGCAAATTTTACATCATAACGCTAAAGATAATAGGCCCCCCCCCAAAAATACAATCAAAAGGAAGAACCAGAAAATACAATAGATCTATTAGAAATAAAAGGCAGATAATGTAAAAAGGTAATACCTTAGCTTCTTCTTATTACCACATCACATGAATCGTCTTTAAAGGAGATCACCATTTTTAATTGTCTTAGGAGTGCCACGAACATCTATAAAAAAAGAACATTAAAAAAATTTAATTGCCTAGAAAAGAATCTAGTGGCACCAATGTGACAATTTCTGGAGCATTGAATATGCTTAACAATCAAAAGGCAGGGAAAGCAAAACTTTTCATCAATTCTATTGAATGAAGTGAAGTTTAATCAATCTACTCAAAAAAGCTTTACCTAGATCGAGCAGCAGCATCCATTGCCTTGGGGAATTTAGGCTCTTTACATTTCTATCACTACCTAAATAGCGACAATATTTTGTGGTGGAACCAATCATATATCCTTGGCCATTAACCATTCTTGATAAAGCTCAAATGCTTTGTCAAGCTCCCTCATCCCCCAATATCTTTTCATCAATAATAAAAATGGAACATGGTCAAGTTTTATCCCAGATCTCCTTATCATGCCAAAGAGCCAGTTTGCCTCTCTCATTTTATGTGATACACAGCAACACCTAAGCAACTCGGTATAAGTAATTGTATCTGGTTCACAACCTATTCTAAACATATCACCATGCAGGCGGAGTGCGAGATCAATATCACCAAAGTTACATGCTGCACCAATCAACAAATTAAAAGTGACCGAATCAGGTAGAATCCCATGTAGAAGCATCTTCTTTTTCAAAGAGTGAGCTTCAATGAAATTTCCAACGTTTATATATGCATAGATCAGTGCATTGTAAGTATATACATTAGGTATAACACTTGATGCAACCATCTGGCTCCTAATATCTTCAGCTCTTCTTACATTTCCATATCTCCCATAGCCATGAATGATTACATTCCAAATAAGAGGTTCAGGTATGATAGAATTCTCTAACATACAGCAAAGAAAATAATTAGCTTTAATAACTTCTCCATTCATACAAAGGCCTTGAATAATGATTTTGTAAGTGATTCTGTCAGGACAAATGCCCATTCTTGTCATGAGACCAAATCTATAACAAGCTTCATTCATTTGTCCTTTCTTACAAAGTAAACCAATTAACATATTGTAAGAAAATATGTCAGGCTTAAAACCAGTCTTCAGCATTTGACAGATATAGCTGTTTACCATGATCGGGTCCCGGCTCAAACAGAATCCATTTAAGATGACATTGTAGGCAATATGATCGATCTGAACTCTCCTTAACTTCTCCCATATGGCAAGAGCTTGAATACTATCCCCATGTTTAAAGCAACCATCCATGATTATAGTTGATGTGATTAAATCTGGGTCATCATGCTTATCGCCTAATATCATCTCTAGAAGTTTCTTTGATTCCCCAATGAGACCCTTCTTGCAAAGTGCATCAACAAGTATATTACAAGAAACTCTATTTGGGGTAATACCATTGCTAGTCATGGTTGAGAATATCTCCAGAGCTCTGTCCAAATCATTCATAAGGCAATACCCGTTAATTAGGTTATTATATGTAGCACAACTAGGAGTAGGACCCCGGTATTGCATCTCTTTGACAATCCACTCTGCTTTCTCCATGTAGCCAGTTTTACAAAGTCCACTAATAAGATAGTTGTATGTATATATACTGGGAATGCTGAATTTATGTATCATCTGGCTCCATAGAGAAAAAGCAGTCACCAGTTTGCCCTCCATACATAATGTTCTAATAACAAGTTCATCACAATGCAACTTGTGTATTTTATCAAAGCCAATGTAAGTCCACGATTTTCTTTCCCTGCACAAATATGATGAAATCAATATCCAGAGCTAGTTAGAGGGTTCAATGTCTTCCATGAAGGTTGTAATTACTTTATCAGACTAGATTAGTCAAAGATCTGCCCACAGGAATTTCAGAATCGTGTGACAACACTAGGAAAAATTTAAGGTCAATGACCAAAAGTGATATTAACCTAATATTTGTGGGACCAAAAATGGAATATTTTCTCATTAAGCATGACCACAGTACCACACTCTTAAGTTGTACGGAGTATGTTTAACCATCGAAAAGGAATGCAATTAAGATTGAGAAAAAACATGGAGGGAACCATAAAATGTAAAGAAATAGATCACATATAACAAACATAATGAATAAATATATAACAAATGACTTCCCTGAAATCATCTATGCAGTGTGATATGTGGAAAAAGAATGGGGCATAGATTTCTGATCAAATAAACAAGATTAGCACATCATACATTCCAATCCTACCTTGCTTTTATGTCATTTAACACTGTCCATTGTAATAGCAAACCATAAAGAGAAACGTGTATCACAATTGGATGAATCTAATAAACATTGTTTAAAATTGCACAATGCAATACCGCAATAAGGAGCGCAACAGTAAATTCAGAGAAACGCGGATTATTGCATTGCTAAAGGCGGGGGTCTGTAATCTTACGCATTGTTGTGCAGACGCGTACGCTATGCGTACTGCGCCTCAAGGCGAGGTGAGGCGAGCACCTTAACAGTTGAAGTAATATGTGGGCCGATATGGCCCACTTTTATTTTTTTTAGTGCTACAGCCTACCTCGTTCTGCGCGTACGCTATTTATTCCCTTCACTGCTGCTTAACTATGCATCAGTCGTGGTTGCCAAAAGTCCTCTTCTCCATCAATTATTTGTTGACAGTGTTCCCCCAGGCTTCTTAATGCTTAAATTGCTTCATCACATGTGTTTCTTCAATATTTTAACTTCAATTCTTTTGTTACTAATACTACCTATATGGTTCATGGTTGTCAATCGTTATTTGATCATTTCAATTAATTGATAATTGATATTACTCTTTAATCACAGGTGCTTTTTAAATCTTAACTTCAGTCAATAAATCGTGTAATTGTTTTGATAATTGATATAGAAAGTTAATTCTACACATATCTTAATTTTAGTAATACTAAGTATATAGTTGTGCATCGTTTTGATAATCACAGATCATTGACATTATTCATTAATCACTAGTGCTTCTTTTAGTTCTTTATCTCAATTTCAGTTAATAGATACTATCTTATTATTCTTTGATCACAGGTGCTTCTTTAATTTTAATTTCAAATTTTCAGTTAATAAATTCTTTAATTATTTTGATAATTGATATATAAAGTTAATTATATTTTACATATTATCTTACTTTTAATATTAATATAAATTTGGGTATTACCTTCATTTTCTGTTAATGTGAAATTTGTTAATACTTCGTATTATCTAAATTATGTGTTAATATTAAGACACACACACAAATGCATTTTAACGCTCAGGTCTACGCCTCATTGCGCAATGAGGCTTACGCAATAGGCAATAATAAAAAAACGCCACGACTACGCAATACGCAATTTAAAACCTTGCTAATAAATGCAAATGCTTTGAAAGTTGAGATCACTTAAAACAAGTGCTAGTAGAAAAGAAAACTCCAACATTACCTTAATCATGTGCTATAGTTAGTATTTACAGAAATTACTAATAGAACACAACCCACTAAGTATCGCTTGCCTAATCAAACCCTCCTCTGTGTGAAGAATCAATCTCTAGTTGTAAAAAATCTTGATGAAAGACTTTCATACAGGCTACACCGATGCATCAATACTCATATATACTGCATTACCACTAACCTCATGCTCTGCAGTCGGTCCAATATAACCTTCAATGTTGAATCTAAAACATTGAATGCTGCACCCGCATCTCCATCTTGATTTGGAGGCAATTCATTCCTCTGGAAGAAGCAATCTTTTGTTTTTAGTTCACTAGGGATAGGGCTTTGCATCATTCCGCCTTTTCTACACATCAATCTAAAGCATTAAATACAAGGAAAACTTAATGTGCAACTTATATGTATTTGACAGGCAATTTGATCCTTAGCTACACAAGAAAATACCTTGTATTGATTAACTCCGAGTTAGGATGGGAGCAGTAAAAACCAGCAACCACCAGGCCAATTTGGTCTCTGATAGAGTCTATGATTTGGAAGGTGCCATTCAGCATCCGAATAAGAAAATGAGATTCTGATGTTACTAAGATCTGTATGTTCATGGAGCATAAGTTGTACTCAGATATGAGATCACTGACAAGCCGAAGCTCGAGAAAAATAGCGCTGCGGGACCAGTATGACCAGGGGCGGTCCTGAGAGAATGGAGACCCTGTGCAACAACAGAATTTGGGCCTGTTTTCCAAGTTCCAACACAAGTAACTTGTGTTAAAATTTAAGTTACTAATCAACATAATGATAAAAATAAAATTAGTCATTAATAAAATACATTTTCTTTAAAAAGAAACTTTCTTCGAGCTTCTTTTTGAGACAAGGTTAACTTGTCAAGCCTTCTTTTCTTTTGACTCTTCTCATGACTGAATGGGTATTTATTTGGAAACATAATTACTACTAATTGTTGAATTTCTCCTATGATCTTGTACATGTTTATAAATATTAAATTAAATTTCAGTTTGAATTTAGGATGAAATCATAAGGGACTATATAGTATAATTATAATTTATGAACCTCAAGTTACCCAAATACGGAGTATATATTTATACCAATTTCTTAAATCTTAATTGTTAAACATATTTATTACGGAGTATCAATCCAATAAATCATTTACTTTAACTGAAAAAAAAATAACAACAATGCAACAATTCAACCAATAATCAACATAAAATCAGTTTCAGTAATTCGGATTTAAACAAATCAGAAATCTGAAAATTATGGATGTGCTGAGCCTGAGTTAGTCATGAGTTGCTTACTGAGTTTACTGCCAATACTGCGCAGTTGCGGACCTGCGGTCGTGGAGCGGTGGACAGAGTCTGGATTCGTGGGTGATGGCCGGTCGTCAGTCAGTCACTCGCCTTTGTCGCCCTCCTTCAGTCTTTCGTCGCTTCGTCAGTTCGTCGTTCCCGTGCTTGTGTTTCCAAGTCTAGCGGACAGAGAGCGAAGGTTTGTTGGGCGCGTTAGAGTTTGGACGCTAGGATTGGGCTGGAGTATACTAGTTTCTTTATTTTTTCGGGCCCTCAAAATTTTGGCTACCTTTGTCCTGAGCCGGCCCTAATAATTTGACACTCCCAAACTCTAAGTGGATTCTGGTTGACCGGATACGAAGTAAACGGTCCCGGACACGGTTGGGATACTCACAGCAGGCGGAGAAATGTGCAAAATTTGGAGCGTAGTCTTGTTTCCCGGTGGAGGAACGCACAGAAGGCGTAGTAATGACGTCGGATACTTGCGATTTGGAAGACGCCGGTGGGTGGAGAAAACTATAGACTATGGAGGCAACCGGAGGTTAGACTCACAGTCTACGGTTGCGATCGTCAAATGCAAAGGCCAGCTTCGTTTCCAGTTCTTTGTTTTTGAAGCAAAACCTATAGACATTTCTAGGGCTGAGCACAACCCGAACAGAACCATCAAAACTCGACTTTTTTCCGGATATTATCCGATTGGATATGGATATCCGACCCGAAAACCTGAATATCGAAAATCCGATTAGTATTGGGCCTAGACCGGGTGGTGGGTAGGGTTTGTAAAATCTCAACCCGACCCGCCCGAAATATCCGAAATATATTAAATTATGTAGTCTAAACTTTGAATATGTTTAATTAATACTTGTGTTCAATTATTTGTGTAATTATTTGTGTAATTTGTGTTAAATTATTTTTGTAATTTAAATGTGTAGTGCACTAGTGTGTACAAATTTTGTCAAGGTGGCACTCCAACACTTTAATTATCCAATTATAATGTGTTTTAATATAACCAAAATATCTGAAATATATAAATTATGTAGTGTGTACTTTGAATATGTTAATTTAATACTTATGTTCAATTATTTGTGTAATTATTTGTGCAATTTGTGTTAAATTATTTGTGTAATTTGAATGTGTAGTGCACTAGTGTGCACAATTTTTTGTCAAAGTGGCATTCCAACACTTTAATTATCCAATTATAATGTGTTTTAATATAATCGAAATATCTGAAACCCGATCCGATATCCGATAATATCCGACTTAAAAATATTCAAAAATACTCGATTTAAAATACCAAAGGGTCGGGCCTAGTATTTATATTAAAAACCCGAACGGGTATAGGGTACGCAGACCCGACCCGCTCGAACCTGACCCGTGCACAGCCCTAGACATTTCCAATGCTACATAAATATCAATGAGAGATAGCCAAATAAATATTACTCTCTCCGTCCCAATTTGATGGTCTTGTTTCTTTTGGGCACAAAGAAAGTAGGGGTGGGCATGGTCAGGGCCGGTTCGGGTAATTAGTAAATTTTTAAGAACCGTCGATTCCTCTCAACGGGTAGGTTCGGTCCGGGTATACCAAATCTCAAAATAGGAACGGGCCGGTTTGGTCCGAGTTCTTGGTTCTTTTTTGTAAAACAAAAATACGTCTATGCTAGCAAAGTATCTATTAAGTTTTAAAATTATCGAACTGATTAAGTATCAATGTCACCATAATATAGTAAAAATTCAAACAATATAAAACAACATTTTAAGTTAGTTAACAAAATACCTAACCACAGGTCTATAAATTAAATAGTACAAAATCACCCAAATTAAATAACATCAAATTTTCAAATGTAGACATCTAGACACCATCTCCATAAACTAAAAAGAGAACTATAAAGTCATAAGGAAATAAACTAGTTACTATACATATTTGTCTACGAAAACAATTTAAAGCTTATTTAATCTCAAAATATAAGTAAAATTAAGATAATTAAATGAACATGTCACACTTCATTGAGTAAAAGTCTTTGTTTAAAAAAAATGTTAAAGAAAGAAAACTTGATGCATTTGGAATAGAGAATTGAGGAAGAGTTTATATGGACTTCGACACTTTTTTTAATAGATTGATAAATTTATGTAATTGAGTCTTTGTCTAGACACAAAACCATGAAGAGCTTATGTGTGTTAGTATATTATATTAAATATAATAGAGCTTATTAAAAGAATATTATAAACGGTTCGGTCCGGGTACCCGTTTTTTCAAATTTTTGGAACCGTTCGGTTCCTAAGTTTTTAAGGACCCGCCCCGCCCCGAACCGTTTGGATTTTCTAAAATTAGGACTCGGCCCTAACCCGTCCCGAACCTATATTACCCGACCCGACCCGCGGTTCCTGTACCTGTTTTCCCACCCCTAGTACCATTAGTTGTTGGACTAGTGGTAGATGTCTATTCACTACTTTATTTTTACTATACTGAAGTGTTGCCACTTTTTCTCTCAAACTATATTCTACCGTATTTTCAGTTTGGATAAAAAAATCCTTGGGTAACAGGGACTTTGAGGGTGTTTGAAAAAAGGTGTTTCAGCCAAAAAATGGTGGTGTGACCATTTTTAACATTTTGAATGAGTGAAAAAGATGTTTGGTATATAGTTGTTCAGTCTTAGTGATTTTTTGTGGAACCGCAGAAATGGAAACACTGTAAATAAGAGAGCTTTGGGTTAGGCTTTTGAAATATATCGTTTTCTACTAATTTTATAGCCAAAAATTAAACTGTCAAACATTTTATGGCAACGCGTCAACTTATTTCGCTAGTCAAACCCGCTGACTGAATTTGATATTGACAACCTGTTAACATAATTCACTATCTACTAAGCGATAAATGCCAAACACGCTCCCTTTATTAATTAGTTTTTTTATGATAAGCGGCTTTTATTAATTTAAAAAAAACATGAAAGGCAACATCCAAACAGCTATTACAGATTCGATCCTCAGTCCTAGGAATAGACATAGAGTCAGCCACTTATCCAAAGCAACCTGACTCGCTAGACACAAAACAGGCAAGACTAAGCCTAAAACGACCGAAAAAGAAGCACTGCCTGTCAAAGGTTCTTCAAAAACCAAAATACTCAAACCATACCTACTCGAACTAAAATAAAAAGTACTATTGATAGAAAATAAGAAGAAAATAAAAACTTTCCAAAAATTGTCTCTTGGTACGGAGACAATTCCGGAGGAGGATGAACTGCTGCAGTATGAGTGAAAGTGAAATCCCTCTTTCAAATTTCTTTTTCAACGAAGAGAATTGCGACCACCAGAAAATCCGCCTGAAAACCTACTCTCACGACCGCATCTTCGAGCATCAAACTCTCCTCTTCGTCTTCCATAGTCAACATGTAGTACTGCTCATCAAGCTTCTCCATGAAAATCACCAAAGTATGCCTGCAAACTCGCTACCCAGTTTTGGCGTCGTCGGCTGCGAAACCTAGTAGTCTAATAAATTGCCGGCTGCCGACGTTAACCCCACTCAGAAAACCAAACAATAGGAACGACCGTCATAGCTGCTTAGATCTCCACTTTGTCGCCGATAGGGGGTGGGCACGGTCCGGGACGGTCCGGGATTTGGCTTATTCCGACCCGGTTTTAAAATAGCGGTCATGTACGGTTCGGGATAAGTATTTATCCTAATGTTGTCCCATTTAAAACGGGACCGGGACGACCTGAGATAAAACGGGACGGTTCGGGACGTCCCAAAAAATATGCATTTGTTAAATGTGATACAAAAATAAGCATAACATCAAAATAAAGACGTAACTATTTTTGCGAATTTAGCCTTCTTAAAAAGTTAAGTAAAACCTCTAATTGACTATTTTTAGTTATTGGCTTGTAAATTTTTTTGGGCTCCCCTAATCTTGTGTGTCCTCTAGTAGAATAGTAGAGCAAAATATTTTTATACTTTGTAGTACCATATTAAATTAAATAACATATCTATAAAGACACTATATATATTTTCTAGGAGTAGTTATTTTGGAAAATATTAAATCTATAACAACATTATATGTTGGAGTAGTAATTATTCCATCATAAATAATATTCCGCACGAAATAATATATTATGGAGTAGTATTGGAATGAGAACTAAACAAATATTAATCAAAAGAAACAAAAGAAAGGAAACTAATAGAGACATGAAATAAGATAAAAGTACACCATAGAGACTAAGGGTTAGAAAGTTTTAATTGAGTTTGGCTATTACATATCATTAGAAATTTAAAATATCCTACTAATTTCGAACGGGACACCGGGACGTGACATGATATTTTATAGTTATCTCGGTCTCGTCCCGGTTGATATCGGTACGAGACCGGTTTGGGATTAATATATAGCATCCTAAATGGATCGGCATAATTTTGGAACGGTATCAGAATTTTTCGATTTGAGACACCAGGGCTGGGATTTTTGTCCACCCCTAGTCGCCGATTCAAACCTGGTGCTTAAATGCGGTGAGATGCTTGAGGTCTCCAGAGAGGCGGCACCGCGGCAGCGTCTTTTGAGATTCGTAGCCTAGTCTTTTTTTTTTTTTGAAAATCAATAACTTAATTATTATTAATAAGGGTAAATAGAAACATAACAACCAAAAGCCAAAGCATTACAATCACAACGTTCAATGCTACACTAGGGTGAGACAAAGAACAAAAAAGCCATATAAAAGCTATTATGTGTGAAATAATGGAACAGGATGCTCTCTAAGGAGCCCTGACAGATATATTTATAGTGAAGAGTTTAAATGTAAATATACAGAAATATCCCTAGGTAATTATGTTATTACACCCCCTCAATCTGTGCGGGAGAAACAACGCGCAGGTTGTCCTTTAAAAAATGAAAACGCTGACTAGGGAGACTTTTAGTAAAAATATCTGCCAATTGTAAATGAGTGGGAACATGCCGAACGAGCAGATCTCCATGAGCAACACGTTCACGAACAAAATGATAGTCAATCTGGATGTGTTTACTTCGAGCATGCTGAACCGGATTAGCAGTTAAGTAGGAGGCAGAAACATTATCGCACAATAAATGAACCGGTTCGGTAATGGGAAACCCGAGCTCAAAGAGAACTGATCGAATATGCAAAGTGTCCTGTACTGTATAAGTAATAGCACGGTACTCAGCTTCTGTAGAAGATCTGGACACAGTAGGCTGCTTTTTGGACTTCCAGGAAATCAGATTGGGCCCCAAAAATACTGCAAAACCTGTGGTTGATCGAGAACTGTCTGGACAACCAGCCCAATCGGCGTCGGAGTAAGCCAGCACGCACGTCGGTTTATCAGACCGCTGAAGCCATAGTCCATGATCACGAGTACCCTGTAGATACCTGAAAATTCTTTTGACGGCAAAGAGATGAGTAGTTCTAGGAGCATGCATAAATTGAGAAACTAGGTGTACAACATACGTAATATCTGGCCGTGTCAAAGTTAAATATTGTAATGCACCTACCATGCTGCGATACTCAATGGAATCTGTGAGGAGCTCACCATCAGATAAGGATAGGGTGGTACGAGAAGCTAACGGTGTGCGAACGGGTTTGACAGTATGAAGATGGAAACGAGTAAGAAGATCTGAAACATATTTATGCTGAGAGAGAAACAGACCTTTGAGGGACCTAGTCGCCTCAACACCTAAGAAATAGTGTAAGTGACCCAGATCCTTCATAGCAAACTGATTAGAAATTACAGAAATAAACTGGGTAATGGTTGACTCAGAGTTACCAGTAATAATAATATCATCAACATATAGCAATAAATAAATAATATTATTATTATGGCGATAAATGAACAGTGAATTATCAGACTTACTACAACAAAAGTGATGCTGAAGAAGAAAGCTACTGAACCTGTGGAACCACGCCCGTGGTGCTTGTTTAAGGCCATAAATAGCCTTGCGCAAGCGACATATGTGATTAGGAAACTGAGGATGAATAAAACCACGGGGTTGACGCATATAAACTTC